CCCACCCCTTTAACTCTGGAACCCCTCTATTTCGACGGGCTGGCTCCGCCCCTGATAGCATGTGTTTATTTTTTCTATATTCAAAGCAGTAAGAGCCACTGTGTGCATCCACCAAAGCGAAAAGAATCACATTCAACCTTCTTAGCAAAGAGAAGCCCATCCCTGAGTGCCACTACCTTTGCATCATCAATCTGAATGTTTGATGTGCAAATTATAAGCTAGGATTATTAGTCACATGTGACTTTTTGTCGACGTGATATTTAATAGAAAACTAACACTTGTCAAATTTATTTAACTTATCGGTCACTTGTGATTAATATTTTGCATTTATAAAAATGCAAAACTTGTAAATACCCGACGCGTGAAAAAATCCATACATAGATAGTTATATGTAATGCAACGTGTTGTATATATAGTACGTATATTCACGTATTACTTTTATTTGGGCTCTTTAGGTATAGTTTCTTCAAGTTTGAATTATATTTGATTTAGTCGCAATTGTAGCAATTGCACATGTTATTTTTTGTCTTTGACCCTTTTTGCACTTTTGTCCCCAAAGTGGCTACAAAAGTGCAAAAGGATTCAAAGATTGGGGAAAAGAGCTACTTTTTAACCTTTTGAAATAAGAACAAGTATGGACTAACTATTGAAATCAATTTCCAGTCTCCCTGAGCTTCGTTTATTAATAAAAGAATTAGTAAAAGGCATTAAAAATTTGAGAAAATTCACAACTCATATCATAGATAACTACATAATATGTCCCTGATTTGTGAGGATTAAAATCAAATTTTTAGTAGATTTCGATAAAAGTTGATGAAATGTGACGTTGAAAAATTGTGGGTCCCATGAAATATGTGGTTAAATTAATTGTTGATTTTAAATCTAGATTTTTATCCGTGTTGATCAGCAATGGATTGAGTCATTCAATCTTTTGGTTTTTCAAGTTATAATTGTAGAAAAACTTGCATATGTAACAATTAATTAGTACCCATTGCAGCATGCATCATCAAGAGAGTATGTAATATTTGAATGAAAGGTGTCATTTGAATATATTTTAAGCAAGCATGGAGCAGAAAGTCAGCAACTGATTTTAGAGACCCTTTCGTATGAATCTTTCCCATCCCAATATTGCATACTATTAAGAGTCCTACAGAACACCCCCTACGCCACCCACCCCCACCCTTATAAATATACTAAACTAGAAAAAACTTTGCCATCACACCAATACCTGGTATCAATACAAAATATACAATCCTACATAGTTTTTGGATAATCCCTTAATTCATTTGCAAGAAATTTTTGA